AGAACCGGAGGTAATAGCCACAAACTGAAGCACTAAAAGTTCCACAGGAACTTAAGGAAAAATTTCTTAACAGTGAGGGTGACAGAGCGCTGGAACAGGCTGCCCAGAGAGGATGTGGAGTCTCCTTCTCTGGAGATCTTCAAAACCTGCTTGGACTCAGTCCTGTGCCACGTGCTCTAGGTGACCCTGCGTGTGCAGGGGGGTTGGACTAGATGATTCCTAGAGGTCCTTTCTAACCTTAACAATTCTATGATTCTTGAATCCAAAGGGGATGGTCCACATTTGCCTCAGAATCTCAACATGGATTTTGGGAGAGAATGTGAGGAAAGGAGAGGAGAGCATTAAAGGAAAAAATACATATACATACATAAAATATAAATAGTAGCTGTGATCATGACTTGTTGCTGTTTGGTGCATTAGCCTATAGAAGACATCTTTTCTGTTTGGTGCTACATTGGATCAGTATTGCTATTGTCTAGTGATGAGAACTGTTCATATTTTATTACAGAACTTCAGTCTTTGTTGGCTGGCTTAATGGCAGTGGGGAAACTGAGTTAATAAGCAATTGACAAAAGATGACAGTATTACCTCTGTCAGCAAGAGAGTGCTCAAGTGTGCTGACAAGTCTTTGACATGTAGAAAAAGATCTTGGCATTCTGAAGAGGTATTTCTGTGCTTTGTTTCAAAAGAAATAACCTGAGAAACAGTATCAGGGTGTAGAGGGAACACTTCTCATGCTAAAGAATCTCTGCTTTATCTTGAAAATACTTGATCTTGAAGATTAGATTTTTTTTTTTTGTTTGTCTGTTTTTCAGCTTCTTAGGGTCTGATTGTCTAATGTCTTGCTGCTCCCATAAGCCTTTGGTCTTCCCCTGTTTGTGGGTCTTAAAGCTTGTTGCTTCTCTGTGCTGAGTGGACTGCTGTCTCTTTAATGATTAAATTTGTCTGTTTCTGAAGAAGTCTCAGAGATTAAAGGAAAAGTAGTATCAAAAGCTGAGCTGAATTTTGCCCCAGAGTTGAAACCAGACTTTCCACTGGTCACCATGCTAAGCTTAGTTCATGAATGTCCATCCAGTTTTCTAGCCCTGCTGTGGTACTAGGTCTTCTGATCTGATCTTGGTTGGGGTTTGGTATCACTGATCTTCCTACTCTTAAGATCTCACTGATCTTTTCCTACTCTAAACAGTTTGAGTATACATTCATGAGTCTTTGCAGGTGAAATGTGATATATTTAGCTTGCAGTCTTTGGCAAATTCTTGCTTTTGCTTTGAACTGAAATCAAACATTAAGTTGCAGTCAGTTTAGACCTTGGCTTCTTGTCATTCTCCTCCAAATATGCCAAACATGCATTACTAGCCAAGATACTATCAATAGCTATCACTGGATTACCAGCCACTGTGAAATAATTCATATATGCTTGACAATGCAAGAAGAGTTGCAGTAAATATTTTGGCAGATTATGGTTCTGGAGTTAATTTTCTAAACTAAGGTCTAGAAGGGGTATCCTATAGGTAATATAGTTCATCTGGCTTGCTTTTTTTGGCTTGTTTTTTTCTTTGCTAAACTTCCTTGTGCACATTTCTGTCTTTATAAAGAAAATACATCTCTCTGCTCACACTATGCTTCCTCATCTTCATTCCAATATGATGAATCAAAATGTGTTGATGATGATGATGATGATGAAGGGTTCCATTACTTTGCTAGATTCAGTGTATCCTTTTTCTAAGCAAAGCACCTATAGAACTACTTTTAGAGCAGAATCCACACAGTTTGGACCATAATCAGTATTAAGCATATTGCTTAATAGCTTTGAAAGGCCCTCCTGAACTTCAAGGTGTTCAACTTCAAATATAGTTTGACCAAGTTTTCTATGGAGAAAACTCCGTAGATAAATATTAGACCTGCAGTTGGGACAATTTTCTATCTTTAATTGCAAAGGTGAGTCAACTCTTCAGAAGACCTGATCAAATAAATGGGCAAAGAAAAAGTTGCATGAGGCATATGTAGAACTAAACAGAAAAAAAATCAAGGCATCTTAATTGCAGATTTTGGAAGGGAATGAAAAAACTTTAGGTAAATTTGAGAGGTGTCAGAGATGCATGCAAGAGTGTGTCTTTTGTAGTCTAGTTTACTTACTAACTTAGAGTCTAAGCTCCCCTGCATCCACTGGCATCAAATTTTGCATTGATTAACAGTTCAGTGATAATGCTATTCAATTAGAAAATAGATTCTTTTTCTCTACCCTTCTAAATTTGGAGAGGGATAGAAAAAATCCTCTATGTGAAAGCAAGTAGTAGTGTCCCTGGCCTTATCCCCTAAGTCGTTTGTCTCTATTTTCTTGGCGCTGGCTCCCATTAAGTTTTTCGTAAGTGTGCCATGGAGATTTATCTTAAGTAAGCTCATAGCCAGCTTGAGCAAGCTCTTCCCTTTTTGAACGGCTTGGGCTGTAGGGGTGACTGTGTAAGATATTTAACAAAGCAAACCGTCACTTTCTCCATGCTTTTCTCTCTGGTGTAGACTGCTTTTGTACCTGTGTGAATATGGTAAATGTGTATACTTAGGCTTGCAGAAGGCTAGGAGAAAGACTCAAACTGTACTCAAGTGTACTCAGATGTACAAAGGTACATTTGAAGGAAAGGTGCAATACATCCTGCATGCCAGATGAAGTCTGAGATGATACAGAATAAAGGGGGGGGAAAATAACCCTCAGACTCCAAATTTGCAAGTATCAGACTTTACCTCCACAGCCTGTGATGGTAGTGGCTTTACTAATTCAAAAGTTTTACCAAAACTTTTGCATTAAACGGTTGTGCCAAGAACTAATAAAAATCCTGCTACTTGACACAGCTGTCAGAAAACCTGTAAAACTGGTAATTGAAGAGTAATTGCTGTTATCTTTGTCTTAATTGTAAAACCATGCTTTACCCTTATCTCTTTCTGCAGTTCCACTTGTACCTTGGTGTCCTTGGCTTTTCAGATACTCATCTGAGAAGAGGACATGGTTGATTAAGCAAAAACTGTAAAATGAGAGAACAGTAGGATCTCTCTTCCTTTCCTTCTGTGAAGGAGCTCATGTTACTGATTATATCAGGACTTTGGAGTAGTGAATTTTCTCAGGCAAATTTTAAGAAACAGAAATTACGTATTGGGAATAATTTTGCCTTTCTCTAAGAACTAGTTAAATTTTTCATCTGCCTTGTGAAAGGCTCTTGGGAATCAGATATTCTCATGTTAGGTACCTGACTGCTGCTATCATAAGCTGAAACATCTATTATCCTGTGTCTTGCCGCCTCTGATTTACAAGATGCTATCATTGCTGAAGTTCAAATGAAAATTCTCAGTAGTGTATAGAAATACTATATTGTATGATGTTGTGAAGAGACCCCAGTCATCTTTTACTGCTATAAATTTGGTAGCAGGGTACGTGTAAGTATAAATACTATTATTGTTATTGTATGAATCCGCCTGTAGCAAAACAAGCCCTAGTGTCTTCTGTAGTGTCTTCTACAAGTAATGCTGTGTTGTATTGACTTTTGATAGAGAACACCTATTACCTACCGAAACCTGCTTAAGGTTTTGGTTGACAAGAATCAAGTGAAAGTATGTGATGATCAATTCCTGTCTGCCTTACAAATATGTATTTTTTGTTGGTACCATACCTTGATGGGGAGGAGAGGTAGAAAAAAGTAACAATTAAAAAAAAAAATCCTAGACAGATTTGAAGAGGGAAAGAATGAATTTATTCACAGCTGCTGCTGTTTGTGATGTGGGATGGTATTTTATGTCACAGATTTTGTAGGTCAGTCCCATTTAACCAGCTGTAGAAGCCATCTTCCATAGCCTGTTATAAAGAAGATCCCTTGTGGGGATCATAGTGGTGTTCAGGGTGCTTCTGATTTAATCAGCTGAAGTACTAGGCTCTCTGCTTCAGTTGTTGTTTTCATTTGTTTTTTTGCAGGGCTCTTGGAGTCTGCTAAGGACATGTAGCACCAAGAAGGGGAGAGGATATGAAAATAATTGCTAAACTATTAGCCAGAAGGTTTCCTAGGAGAGCTAGATTCCAGCTGCCTTAAAGGCAGCTGATTCTTCCCTGAAGGGAATAGGGATAAATCAGAAGACTTCTCAAGGTTCCTTTTAGCATGTAACTTTTTTAGTTTTTTGCCTTATCCTGTTGCATGTACATGGACCTCGAGGTATATTATCTTTGCTGGGAAAAAAAAATCATTTTCCTGTCCAGGTTCTAGTGAGAAGTACTGAACACTTCTCAATAGGCTGTTTTTAGAGCACATATTTAAGGGTTGTTTTATCTTTGCCTTTGAAGATAGCAAAAATATTCTTGCATGGTGCTTTGAGGCAACATGTCAAAAGTTCAATCTGAAAGGACTTGGGGAGCTTTCACCACTATTCAGCATTTTGCTGGCAGAGATCTGTCTGTAGTCCAAGTGTATTTTGAAACCTCACTTCAATCCCTCATTCTTCTTTTGACTTACAACTGCGTTTCATTTGATACTGTGCTAACATTTAAAGTGATCATTTTAGAGGAGGAAAAAAAAATAAACTTGTGAATTTGCAAGTGCTTTGGATTGCCTTTCTCTGTGTTCCTGACCTTGATCCAAACTGAAGTCTTTGTTTGGTGTGTCTCTAATGATAATCAAAAGGAAAGCTGCCTTAGATCTCTTTAAATCCTATTTTTAATTTTATAATTAACTGAAAAAGAAAATTTTATCCAGACATATATTTTCACTAAGGACAAAAAGCTTGCTTAGATTATAATTTGCGTCTTGAGTGGATGTAGTCAACTTCTGCTGTTGACCTATGTTGCATTCCTTTAGTCAACAACAAAAAATCATTCTTGGAGGTATTGTTTCATTTCAACCCTTTTAGAAACAGCACTTGAGTTTTCTGTGTGTGTGTTTTGTTTTTTGTTTTTAACTTTCCCCTTCTGAAGGTTTCATACGCGCGACCAAGCTCAGCTTCTATCAGAGATGCGAATTTGTATGTCAGCGGACTCCCAAAAACAATGACCCAAAAAGAACTGGAACAGCTCTTTTCCCAGTACGGACGCATTATTACGTCCCGTATACTCGTTGACCAAGTTACTGGTAAGTAGGCAGTTCTGCGTTTTCTCACCCTCCTTTTCTTAAAGTGTTAATTTGAGAAATATTTCATCTTTTAATGCAACAGTCATGTCTATGGAATGTGTGAAAGAAAGGTGTATGTGGGCCAGTTTTTTTTTTTGTGCTGGACTTGTTCATAAATATGCATAGACAAAAATAGATCGTGGTGTGTACTGAACCAGCTTGAGTCGTTTCCACCCTGAAGGTGCAGGTTTGAAGCCTGTTCTGTGACTTGTAATAAATTTACAGCTGCTATAATCTTTTCCAAGCTGCTGTGAAAAAATAGTCCCTATGGTCTTCATGAAATGCCATTAAACAAATTATTTATAAAATAGAATTGTGCAGTGATCCTCTGTAGATAGGATTACGAAAGACTTGGTCTGTTAATTGCTGTTAGGCTGATTTCAGGGTTGCCCCATTAATTATGGGCACTCTGAACATAAACTTTGAGCTCCTCTGGAGCAGATAAATTCTGTGATTAATGGTGATATAAAGAACCAAACTCCAGTAGGTTATTGCAGTGTGTGACTAAAACATGGAATAGGTGTCAGCTACCAGTGATATTGTGTGATCACTGGCCAAAATAGCACAGTAATACGTGTTTGCCATGTATTCAAGATGACTCAGTGGCTGATTTGGAAATTGAGGAACTTTAAAGTTTGCTTCATTACCTTTTTCCAGCAAGCATCTTGTAAAAATTATCAAAACCTCTGTCTCAGTACAGAGACATTTTTGAAGAATAAAGACATAGAAACAAGAATTCTCATCCCACTAAAAAAAAAAAAAAAAGGGGGGGGGGACTGGGGAGAAGGGAGGCAGGCAGATATTCGTTACTCATCTAATTGTGCTCATCTAGTGTTTTGGGCTTGTTTTTCCTCATGCTTGTTCTCAAAGTTTTGTGTCACCTTGGGGTGATAACATTCAGCAGCCAGAGGTCATGAAACTTTCAAGTGGTCCTACTTTAAAGAAATGACTGCATGCAAGTATTTGACACTTAGAGAAGGTGTCTTATGCACTCCTTTGCAATTCCATTACGTTAACACAGATCCCAATATTAACACACAATATTTGTTGAATTTTTAAATAGTGAGGCTTGGGAGTGTAAAGAGGCAGAGAGAGTAAATTTGAAGGCAAAATAGTGACTTAGAGGAGAATCAGATCTGCAGGTCAGGCTCCCAGTTTTTTATTGTGTGTTCTCATATATTCATGCCCAGAAGTGGAATGATTTGACAAATGGTCAAAGTAAGTAAATATAATTCAACTTATAAATATGTGCACTGTAATTCTGAATACTTATAAACCTTAATATGTGCAAAGTACTTCTCTGGTATAGACTGTTCATGCTTTAGGTTTTTTTCTCAAATTATTGAGAACAGAGAAGATGAATCAAAATGGTATGAATAATAAGGTTGTGACACAAACTGACAGATAAAAAATGCAAAGTTGAAGCTGTGACACATGCTTCATACCTTTCTTATGCCTGTTCGTTGTCTGCTTGTTGGTTCAAATTGTCACTGTTTATGAACAGAATATATTTCTTGTCACAAATGTCTTTTTCAAGTGAGGACAACTAAGATGCAAGAAGCTCTGACTATAAGAATATTATTTTGTGTACTTTGCTGTTTAGCTATAGTGGCTTTAATATTAATAAGCTCAAGCATGAACATCTACTTTTATTTTACTCATGCTATGGTATGAGTTTTGAAATTGATTTTTCTAAGACATTTCACAAACCCTTACTTGACACCCTTGTGTATTTTTTTAAAGAAATATTTAGATTAGAAACTATTAGATTAGAAAGACTCTATAGTGCAAGTACTCTAAAAAATCACTAACAAAAGCATGCAGTAGTTTGAAACGGAATGTTGGTTTTAAAGAAATAAGCACTGATGGTTAAAACAGGACAGCAATTCTCATTCTAGCAATCTAGAACCTGCACTGCATTATTGGTGTTTTTAGCATATCCTCTCTGATTTCAACTTCCAAGGGATTCTATAGGAGACCATAAGCCAAGTTTTGCAGCTAGGATGATCTTAACCTATCTACATAAACTAAATTGACACTACAGTGCAGCGTTTTCTGAAATCCTTTTCCCCTTCATCTCAATTGGCCCCTTCCCCCAACTGACATTTTTAGATAGATCTTCCCTTCATATCCTTATATTTTCATTTTCTTGACTGTATTTCCCCCCACCTTTCTAAGCATTCTTTCTACACTGTGCAACTTGTCACCCAAATATAAGTTTGGGAGTAGCAAAGTCTTACTTCTATCAACAAATGCTTAGTTTTATGGAGGGGGGGAGCGGGGAAGGGAAATTGTCTTAATGCTGGACACCCCAGAGTCTCTGAGCTAATTAGTGTATGCATTCCTCGTCATATGCAGGAGTGTCGAGGGGTGTGGGCTTTATCCGTTTTGACAAGCGCATTGAAGCAGAAGAAGCAATAAAGGGTTTGAATGGCCAGAAACCTCCAGGTGCCACAGAGCCCATCACTGTCAAGTTTGCAAACAACCCAAGCCAAAAAACGAACCAGGCCATCCTTTCCCAGCTCTACCACTCTCCAAACAGAAGGTATCCAGGACCTCTTGCTCAGCAGGCTCAACGTTTTAGGTAAATCTTACTTATGTATGAATTAACTGCTGTAAGCCTCTCTGTTCCGGTGGTTCTGTTGCAGCTATGTTCCAGAAATATAGTTAAAGGCAGAAAAGCAGCTTACAGCTTTTCATTATCTAATAAACCTGCTTAAATATATTTTTATTTTAAAGCTTTTATTTACCTAGATTTCTTGTTGATATAACGTGTGAGTTGAGTAGCATTAATGTAGACAACTCAATATTCTTAACCATGTACCATGCCATAGCCAGCCAGTTTCCCTTGGCCTTTCCTCCCCTTTATGGCTTTTAGTTCTTCGTCTCGTTAGTTAGCAATCTAAATCTGGCCTGCCACATCCTGCCTTGTCATATTCCCCATTTTTTAATGAGAATGTCTTCCAAGATTTTCTGCATGCATCTTCTGTGTTCCTAAAGTGTTGACTACAGCCATAGTTTCCCATGATATTTAATGTGTTGTAAGGGGACAGATGGTGATAGCAGAGGGAAACAAATATCGTATTAACTACATTCATAATCAAAACAGACTTTGTGATACTGGTCACTGCTTCTTACCTCCCTTTGGGCTGTGTGATGAGAATGTGTTAAACATTAATGCCGTGAAACATTATTTTTCAAGAAATAAAATTCATCTGGCAGTTCAAAAGGTAATGAACTGTACTTTGTACCCTTTACAACAGCCCCCAAGTCCTAGGCTTAATGTGCAAATAGAGTTTGTGGATTATGCTTCTGGCACGATTTGTGAATCTTATTCAGCTTCACAGCCTTGAGCTGTCCTGCAGGTGTCTTACCAGTGTAATGATAAACATTGATGAAGGCTGTCTTCCTTGGGGAATACAGATAACTGTTTTTGTCCATTACTGGGTAAATTTTCACACATAGTTCCTTAGGGAATAAAAAGGGCTGGCTTAAGCAGGGTGCTACATATTGAATAAAGGTAGACTTCCCCTCATTCCATAGATAGGTATGACTGCTCTCATACGGAGCATACTTTTAGGATGACTGGCAATGTAGTATCATGAAGTAAGATCATGAGAGTGCTTTTGTACAGATGTGAAAAATGAGATAGATAATCCTTGCTGATAAGGCCTGTGTGTTACAGCATACAACATCTTGCAGCAAGACTGGCCTTTTAATTCCTTGAGTTTTTCAAAGTGTACTTGTACCCAGATACTCAGCTGCTTTCAGTGTTACTGATGCCAAGTAGGGTAGCAGCAGGAGTAGGTCAATTTAAAAAATACATTTAAACACATTTAAATACAGATATCTGTTACGATTAGTAAAAATTCCCCAACTGTTTTTGCTTTAGATGAGATCTAAAGCTCTTTGCAATTGCAATGTATCAATAAATAACACTTTCCTACAAAACTAGCTATCAGAACTTTGCTGTGTTTCCTTTTGTAGTCCTTTATAAGGGCATCTTTATGCATGTACTTACACTAGAAAGCTTTTGCCAAGATTGTCAAGTTTGCTTGAAACAATCCAAGAGGTGATGTGACTTGCCCTATTTGAGAATAGTAACAGCAAAAATCACTGAGTAGATACTGTCTAGTGAATAAGAGGATAAGAAAGTCTTCTAATTGTGTATTTAAGGGCTTTACTTAGTTACTTTTGTGGCAGTACTTGTAGCTGTGCTGAGCACAAGGTTCAGTGGCAGAATTAACTGCTGAAATTGACTTGTGTACTCCAACTTCAGTTAGGTCTTCCACATGTGAAAAATTCTACCTACTGAAACTTAAGACCTAAACTCGGTAATGGAGACTTGAAAATGCAGAGTTAGGAGTAAACCCGAATGTCGCCTCAAAGGAAAGAAAGTGGAGTATTGTAGGTATTCTTTTCATTCCGTTTTTGCCAATAAAAATCTTGAGCCAAACTTTGAAAAGCAGCTGAATATAATTGTGCCCTGCAGGGGCACAACTTAAGCAGCAACTTAAAACATCTTTAAAAATTGTTCGGTAAGTTCAGAATGTTCAAAAAGACTGCATCTTTCCAAAGTCTTAAGTCATCCAGACAACTTAAACTTTGTAATGGCCATAACGTTACTATATGGAGTCTTCATTTAAGTGTCCTACAAAGAGTTGTAAGTTCTGCCTTTTGTGCTGTTGCTGGGCAGCCCTGGGAAGAGTCTGGCTCAGTGTTATTTACTCCTCTTGTCAGGTATTTGTACTTGTTGGGAAGGTCTCTCTTTTCCACACTGAACGCATGAGTTCTCCACCAGTTCTCTCCACCTCTCGTCCCATGAGAGATGCTTCAGCCCCTCGGTCATTTTTGCAGACCTCCATTTTGTCCTGGGGAATCCAGCACTGGAACCAGCCTCCCCAGGGCCAGGTGGAAGGGGAAATCTCTTGTCCCTAGGAGCAGTTCTAGCACAGTTAAAAATTGAATTAATTTCAGATTAGAAGTGAACCTTTACTTTCAAAGCCCATCTTCTGTGGTAAAAATTTCAGCAAGAAATTCCTCATATTTGCTTGTCCTTGGTATGTCTGAACTTTTCCCAGAGAAAATCAGGGTTTCTCTAAAGAGAGATGCTTCTTGCAGGAGCACTTAAAGAATAAGATTAAAGACTGTTATTGAGATTGTTGGGAGTATCGTGTATTCCAGCTATCAACTGGATCACCTGCAATGCTTTTAAGGTTGAGTTGTGTACTATTATTTACTAGTCTGGCAAATGGTGAGGGAAGCAACATATGGGGAAAGCTTATAGTTTAATATAAAATTTAACATTTATTAATATCCTAAAATTGTTTGTTCTTACAATGCATATTCTAACACTTGTTACTGCTCTTAAAACCTGTGTCTGTGTGATTTGTGATTCCTCTCTTCGTAGGAGCAGATGACTCAAATTGATCAGAAACAGATTTATGGTCTGGAAAATTTCACTGAGGCTGATCACCAACTGTGTTTATAATAATGCAGCGGTTTGACTAACCCAACTTCTTGTAGCTGGACACTTTCTGAACTTCATTAGAGGGTCATGGTCAGATTGCACAAAAAAGCATCAATGCCTTGCTGTGTTTGAGATGCATATAATATGCTGATACTTTTTCTAAACTGCAGTGCTCAAGTTTTGTATCCTTTCCTGTAGAATAAAATGCAGGGGGACTGGCAATAATATATCAAGTTTCTTTGAGATTAGGCGTGGAAAAATCCAAAGACTAAAACACTTTGCTAAATGTTTTGTAGGTTGGACAATCTGCTGAACATGGCTTATGGAGTAAAGAGGTAATGAAGAATCATTAGATTAATAATGATTTATTAACAGATCACTTGCTAAGAGAAGTATTTTGAGTATTACTTCTTCCAGTAAGACTAATATTGGGCTCTCTTGCTTGTTGAGACTTGCAGGTGAAATTGTTCATTTCAGTGCATTGTGCACGTGAAAGAAAAATCTTTGGCAGTAGACTCATGGATTTCCTGTCTTACTAACTGTTAATCCCTACTAGTGTTAGCAGCATGTTTTTATTTTGTTTTTCTAAATGCTGCTTATTTCTAAACATTGCCAGACTTAACCTTGTTCCCCACTTCTGTATAGCATTGCATTATACATGTAGTCAGAAAAAACTTGCAATGCTTCTTAATCTGGCTGAGGTGTCTATACACACTATGAAAAGCCTTGTGTTATTTACCCCTCCTTTTTAATCTTTTTTTGATGGAAATCATTGTGAACGGACTTCTTACGGTGTTGTGTGTGTGTGTTGTTTTTTTTTTTCTCCCCCTCCTTTAGTAGGTTTCCACCCATGACTATTGATGGAATGACCACTTTGGCTGGAATTAATATCCCTGGACATGCAGGAACCGGGTGGTGCATTTTTGTGTACAATTTGGCCCCTGATGCTGATGAGAGTATTCTCTGGCAAATGTTCGGACCTTTTGGAGCAGTAACCAATGTGAAGGTCATCCGTGACTTCAACACTAACAAGTGCAAAGGTTTTGGATTTGTGACTATGACAAACTATGATGAGGCAGCTATGGCAATAGCCAGCCTGAACGGATACCGCCTTGGGGACAGAGTATTGCAGGTCTCCTTTAAAACAAACAAAACGCACAAAGCCTGATTATTCTCAGTGCATTAATATGTGAAAACTCTACAACAAAGGCAATTTAAGAGAAACTTTATAGTGTCTTTGTTGTAAGTCAGCGTGGAAATGGGGATAAAATAACTACTTAGCATCCTAAGAATATGTGAGTTTTTTATTGCTAATATTTGAATTAAAACTTCTTAAATATCTTTTGTGTTTGAATATTGACAAGAGGTACAGGGTTTCTACCTGTTACAATGCATTCTATTGCCTTCTTTGAAGAAGGTAAACCTTTTAAAATGTTTCAGTTAAGGGAAGTTTTTCATGATTGCCTTGAAACCTATGAGTAAATATTGAGGCTTTGTGTTAACGTTTCTGGAGGAGTTTTTCTTATGTTGTATAATTTTGTGATTAGCTTTGTTTAATTTACTCTTTAACATATTGCTGTTTTGTTGTTTGAGATGTATTGAAGTTTACATTTTATTTATAAAGTAATAAGCAGTATTTATTTTATATTATCATTTCGGTTGGGGAACGGGAACACATTATAAAAGCTTATTGTAAGGATACTGGAGAACTTTTCGTAAAGCAGTACCTTGCCAAAGAGATAAGAGCCTCTTTGATGTGGGTTTAAAAAAAGCATCTATTTTTATAAATAAATAAAAAAAAAAATTTGGAGAAACTTTTTACTCGTCCTGGAACAAATATTTTGACTTGAATACTTTGAAAAATGTCTTCATATGACACCTAGTGAGCTTTCAGAACTTACCAGGAAACTTGCAGTTGTTGAGGGAAACGTTGAAAGATTTAGGATGTAGAATACTTTTGAGGTCTTTGTACTAAGATGTAGAATCAATGGGATGCCCTGTTGGTTTCATTTGTGTAATCAGCAGTGGGGCTTCGGTCATCCTGGTTATTAAGTGGTAGGTGGCTCACATTAATTTGTGATTTTGAAACAAATTAAAATTTTAAAAGCATATAAAAAGAGAGCAGGAAATTTAAAATGCTGAGACATAGGGAAAAAAAAATCTGTTCTTCCTAAAGAATTCCCTTCAGATAGAGCTCATGGTGTTTAGTGATGTACTTGCTATTGTTTGAAGAATTGTTTTGTCTTAAAAGGCATTGTGTGTGGTTTGCGCAGTAGCAAACCATCTGAAGTGGTCTGAGTTGGACACATTGGGTGGTATTTTGAAAGTTATGTTCAAAGCTAACACCTGAGCTTTGTGTAATGTAAATAAGAACTTGAGTTATGAACCTTTCGGCTAATTTTGGTTTTAGTTTACTTTTTAGTTTACATGAAGAGTGATGTTCAAGTTTTGAATGTTTCTATATCAGTTTATTTCTTTGTAAATGGCATTAACATTGTTACTTGGGGTCTGCTTATTCATTTTTATTGTCCTGAGGACTTGAATTTAAAGCGCATCAGATCTGTTGCTATTTTTGTCTGTAGGTAGTCTAGCTTCAACTGTTTATGGTGATGCTACACTTTTGTTTATAAGTATGTTTGTGGTAAAATGAGCATAATCATAGGTTTTGAACAAATTTCCTTACATTTTTTCAGTTTAAAAAAAAAAAAAAAAACCTGTATGCTCTTGAAATTTAACTTTGTATGATGCTTAAATCACTATTTGGGGAAATAGTAAAAGTCTTTACTATGTATTAAAAGAAATTTAAGAGAAAAAAGACAATATTTTCTGATTAGCATCTAGCTTATAATAAATTTTTAAAGCAGCTGAAGGTTTTGATGCCTTCACCAGGATGCACTGACAACTATGTAGTTACGTCCTGCTTTTTGTATAAACTGAGATGCTCATACGCTTCCCCTTTAGAAAAAGCAATGTGTTATGCATAACATAGTTGTACATTTATCTTTGCAGTTGCTTTTGGTTCTTATTCTTTTTACCTGTAGTTAAAAACTTTTTAGTATAGTACAGTACATATACTGTGAAGCGCGTGCTAAAGTGAATAAGCAAGTTTTCATGCTGACCCACTCAATGCTATTTAAAATCAATTGGCTTCCAGAGCACTTTTACATTCCTAGGTGCATTAGAGTGTTAAAGCTAATTCTTTGCACAAAAAAAAAATATAATAAGAGAGGAGAAAAAAGAAATAAATAAAATCTTCCTGACTTGCCAGTGTCAGGAAAACAGTATGTACATGCTTCTTTCCTATACTACTGCATCGAACCAAGGCATTGATGAGAAGGCATGTAAATTGGGCTTCACTTTACAGTGTTTATCAGAGCACTTAGTAAAATGTAAGGCTGGTATTTATTTGAAGTTGTATAGTATGACTTTATTCACATCTGTTGGAATAGAAAATATATTCTGTTGAGTATTTAAGAGGCTGTACATGTTTTCTTTTGTGTTTGGATCCTTTGTACCTTTTCATGTTCAGTACATCAATAAACAAAGTTGAAGGGAAAACAGTGTCATAGCAGATCTTTCAGTATGTCCTCCACCATAGCAGATATGCAGTCTGGGTGAAAAGTTCATGGTCAAGCTCTTGAGTTCGTCATCCATTTTAATTTTTTTTTTTTAGAATTTAATTTATTTTTTTTTATTTTTTTGATTTATTTTTTAATAACAAATGGATGAAAGATACAGAGTTGTATACCAGCTCTGTTATTTTAGAACTGATTCCAGACATCGTCACTTCAGTTTTATATGCAGGACAACAAATGAGGAACATTAAACAGAGTGTAGTGAGGAAAAAGCAGTTGTCTGTCTAGTAACCATTTATTTGGTATACTTAACGTATTTCATTAGGATAAATAGAGAGGAAGTGTTTTTATTTTTATTTTATTTACTGTGGTGACCATTTGATTGCTATGTTAATTTCTGATCTCCATGAATTCAAAACATGCTGGTAAATATCTAGTGAACTTCCTTTTCTGTTGCCTCTACCCAACTCCTAAACTTCTTAAATTTGGAATTCTTGACTAAATTCTTAAATTTCTTCAAATGGCAAGAATCTAAATTCAGTTTTAAGATAGCAGTATTTCTGGTCTCGCTGATTTAGTTAACCAATGATTGGGAATAAGGGTCCAGACACGTAATAGGTCTCCAAAACATGGTATATGAGTATCAGTTTTTAGTTTTGAGGGGGTGGCAGGAGGAGGGGAGTGCCTTTTTTTGTTTGTTTGTTTTTAATATTTGCTTTTAAAGGAAACATCACAGTAAGAATTAAAAGCAAAAAAAAAAAAAAAAAAAAAAACACGTTGTAATGTGCAGCTTCTCCCATTGAGACATAGTGTTCCAGGCAGGTTTATTTGGAGGGACGGGTTTGTAAGTCTCTTGAGCAAAGATGATACTTTGCAATATCTTATTAAGTCATAAACAAGGTGTTAATACACTGATTCTTTGCTTCAAATTCAGAAGTAATGTCTTCTTTGTTGTGCTCTTTGGCTCAAGACCTCAAAGCTTGACAGCAAATACAGAGCTTTATTTGGAGCTAATATTCTAGCATGGAGATCTGTGTTTTCAGGTTGCATGCTTTTTTGGAAGTGTAGTCTTAGTTATAAACTTAAACCAGTTAGAGTGCAGCAGAATCAGCTAGGTGCAACTATTTTTTTAATTTAGAAATAACGGCAAAATGTGTTTGTTTAATTGTCTTCATTGAATACCTGGGTGTAGGAGTTGATAAATTGAGGAACCTGGCATGAATTTATAGCGATAGGACTTTTCTCTCTGTTTTTAAAGCTTTAAAGTTAAAGGTAGAAAATGTGAAAATGCTTTACAGGGTGTAGCAGAGGAGTGTTACTTTCTTTTGAAGTACCTAAATATCTGATAAGAGTTCCAGAAACGTGTGAACATCTCTATGGGATGCAATGCAGGAGATGGTGATAAGCTGTGAACCTGCTACAATAGTGGGGACACATGTGCTAGCTGGGAAACTTGTGGAAGGGTTTTGCTTTTGCAGAAAAAAATACCAGAAGTTAGTTATATCCAAAGTCATCGGTACTGATGAGTGTGGCATGCTCTGTGATGCTGATCAGGGCTAGCTGATGTTCAAAAGATGTTTGGGTATTTGTATCTGATTGCCATTTAACATAAGCTGTGTCCAGGTCTAACCAGTATCTGAGAAAGGTGAGTTACTGATGGAAAAGCAATGAACAGCTTGAACTCCCCAACAAAATATTAGTGGCTATATTTCTATATAGAATTTGAATGTCTAGCAGAGTTTTTTAGCTTTCATTCTATAATTGTGTGACAGAAATCAAAACTGTTGAGAAAGACTCCAAGAGATTGTAAAACAATAGCCTGAAACTGGGGTATTTCATCCTTACCAGAAAGTAGTACTTTGGCTGTTCTTTTTAAGCTTTTAGGTCCTGCACTCTGTGGGCAGTTTGGTTTTCTTTTGTTTGCTTGTTTTTGTCCAAACTATACTTTTTTATATGTCCTACTCCTGCATTCAAAACCAGTGCTAGAATGACCAATCTTTTGTATCAATAAAAGTGAAACAACGTAATATTATCACATGAGAAGTCATCTGGTCAAGCAGCTTGAAATGATTAAGTGGTGGGAATCAGGTCTCCAGATGGGAGCAGGCATAGAGGTGCGCTGTGATGGTATGTAGGAAGGGTCTGTTGTTTGGGAAAGAGGAGTTTAATCTGAAAGGCTTGACTTTTTTTGGCCATGCTGGGAATAGAAGCTTAACACATTAAGGGTCATATTCTTCCGCTTTCTTGTTATTTTTAGGTTGTGGTTGGCAAAATACTATATTTCTAGAATAATTAATAGTTCTAAAACATAGACCATTTGCCAGCATCCCTTCAAAACAATCTCTATATAAATAAATACATATCTTCTATATATATAAAATGGGTCAATAATTTCTTCGTGTCTGCCTATCTAAAAAATTCAGTGTTACCTTTTAGAAAACAAAGGAATTCTCTTGCAGCCGCTCTTATTTTAGACCATAGGTGGAGACATGCCAAGGTGGAACACACCTTTCCCCACTAATATTTGTGCCATTGTAAAAATATATGAAGAGAGAAAATATTATATCAGACTGCTTAGTTATTCTGTCCTTGATTAACATTGTCACTCCACAACAATTCAGTTTCATCCTTCTCTTCAAGGTGCCTGTCTTTTCTATTTGAAAACTTGTGTTTTCTGTCTCAAACTGGGACTGGAGTCAGCTCCTTTTGGTTGAAGCACTTTCTTTCTGAAAAAGGTGACATGTTGCACTTGCGTTGTGAGCAGCTGCAGTATCCATTTTTATTGCCAAAAACTCAGGTCTGTTACAAATGTGAATATGGATAATGTACCTTTTTTTTTTCAAAAAAGTATGAACAAAAGACTATTTAATCCTCAAGTGATATTTTTAGAGTAATTGTACTGACTGATCTAAGTACTTTGTTTTGCCAATACAAAAGAAAAAAAGTGTGGGCTGCCTCCAGTCCTACTCATGTTGTGCTGTCACTCAGCAGCCCCAATTTAAAGAACAGAATATCTGATATAATACATAGCTAATATTTCTGGAGATAGAGGTTTTTGTTAAGATGAGTGGAAGTCATAACAGGAGGAAAGTGAACTGCCGTTGTTGCTTTCAAAGATTAATGACAAAACTTGTAATAGAATTCATTTTTCTTGCCACCTTGTTCAGATCCTCTGATCCAAAGCTAACACATTATAAATGTAGATGGCCACTTCTTGGAAGCAAATCAAGGATCAAGCATTGACCAAAATGAAGAGTTCATGAGGGAAATGAATCTTCAGATGGCCTCTAAGGATGACTAACATTTCTTATTTCAAAAGGCATTCCCTTTACCTCTTTGGCTTGATATCACTTTCTCTTGGAAAATCAGCAGAAGCCTGAAAGAGTCCTTTCAAATCCTTTTCAGTAGGAAAGGTAATACCACTTTTTGATTATAACAAAATGTAATACCAAGCTATTAGTCTCCCTCTGTGTTCTCCAGCTTTTTATATAGGTTTTAGAAAAAAAGCAAACTGGTCTTCATTTTCTCCTTGTTGAACTGCGACTGGTGAAGTGTGTTGTGTTTTTGGAGGGCTTACCTGGTTATGGTAAATACTGAGAGCTCCTGTTTAAAAAAGAAAACTAATGATTTTTTTTCAGGGTAAAATTCCTTAGATACTCCCTAGAAAAGGCTATTTAGAACTCCTAGAAAGTGATACCCAAATTTCTTTTCTTGTGACAGAATATAAATTCTACTAGATATATCAAATAACACGTTGTTCCACACAGTACACAACACGTTGTTTTTCCTTAGTGGTAACTGTGGATGAGAGTTTCTGTAGGTGTTTTGGGTGAAGGCATTGTCTTACCATAATGGCTACTGTTGGGCAGTATTTTCACCTTAGATTGCTACTGAACATGGGACCCCACAATAGTATGATGATATCACCATGGAAATCACCAGTCTTCTCGAACTTTGATCTTCAGCTTTTCTAGATGCCTTGCTTAGAAAAGAGCCTTGTGATCTGGTGAGTCTGTAGTGTCAAATATTGCATCCTTTCAGTAAGAAGTGTTAACTTTTCAGAAATGGGCAAACTTGCAAATTCAGAGCAGTTTGTCAGAATTAGCAGTAGTTGCTGAATTGGAAGCTCGTTTGGGATTTCATGTTTTTTCAGGTAAATTTCCTCCCATGTATCTATGTACTGAGAGTAGGCAGTTACAGATAGTGTCAGGCTTTGGGAGAAATGCCTGTTCCT